TGTATTGTTATGTATGTATTATATACTGTATACTAATATGTTGCTATATACTATTATTATTGTATTGTATTGTATTGTATTATTGTACCTCAAACTGTACTTAAGTACAGTACTTGAGTAACTGTACTTAGTTTCTCTCTGCCACTGCAGTACAATTTACATCCAGGAAAAATGTCTAAGTAGTGCCTTTTGGAGGAAAGTGTATGTTGATGCAAAGAAATAAGAGTCTTTTTGAGGTTTTAATTTTTGTGGCTGTATCGTGATTTACAGGGCAATATCGGAGATGGCAGCAAGACACCCAGTCATTAGAAACTAATCTTAAACACCTCCTCAGCTCACAAACTGGCAAACACTGCAAAGAAATAAAACCTTCATGCGGTGACAAGTGCTTGGGAAACATTTTTATGAACTCAGCACCCGGGAAGAAAGCCATGTCTTTACTTTGTCAATTCACCTCATAGAGTTTGGTGCTGAGACTCACTCAACACAAGCTCATGGCGTATAGCTGGCAGGGAGATCTGTATATATCATTCTCTGTGACAATATTTCATCATCTGTCATTTCTCGATGTTGAACGCACGCATTGTCTATAGTTTATTATAAAGTTTACAGAAAGCAGCTCTGCAAAGGGTACTCTGGACGAGGAGGAGGAAAAGCTTACACTCTGCTCTTTCCATATGCCTCATTTTAGTTGTGTGGGGGCCAGCGCAAGTCTTTGTGTTTAAGAGTGATGTTTATCAGGGGACAGATCCTGCTGGTATAATCATTACGAGGCTGAGTGAAATGTCTTGCAGAGCACGTACATGTGTCTGATGGGAAACGTCAAAGGTGCTCTGTCTTTTCTCACCGAGCTCCAGAGAGGACATTTCCATGCTCATGGAACATGCCAAGGCAGTCCAAAGCAGAATGGGAAGATTATCAGCAGAAAGATGAGAGTTTTCATTCTAACTACAGAGTGACATCAAACAGAACTGAGGTATCACTCAAGATAAGCACGGAAAACAACTCGGGAGCAAAGAAACAGATGTCTGAGGTAATGTAGCAATTAATTTACCAAAAAAAAAAAAAAAAAAAAAAAATCACCAAACCAATAGCACATGTATTTACTTAAAATAACAGGACTTCATGAAAAAGTATTCATATTCACAACAGCATCTGAACCATGCGATTATAAATAATATAATCAGCTCTGGTTATTACACAAGCAACAATAAACAGACATTGGGGAACTGTATATCTGTTTTGACGCATTAACATTTTTAAAGCCGTCAAACTCACTTTTAGTTTTACTAAGTACGTTGCGCAAAGAACATTAAGTCATCAGTCAAACCAACAACCTTTCCCTTCATAATGACAACAGCTAAGTTTCAACACTCGCAGTTTAGTCATCCATTAGTCATGTATCCCATCCAGATGTCTGGTGGAGGGGAGGAGGGGAGGAGGAGATAGCAGCAGGTGTAGATCTCTCTGAGCCCAGCTGAGCTCTAAAAGGCAGTGCTTAGCACCCACAGCTCCGTCATCTGGCCTCTCCCCTGTCTCCACCAGCCTCTCGACAGCCCATTCCTCATCATTTACCCCTTTTTGGCAAAGCCCAGAGCCCTTCTAATGGGCCGCTCTGAATGCTTCCAGATGTTTGTTTATTTGTTGTGCAGCAACTGTAAAACAGTTTACTCTTAGTTTGGATCTGTTCCCGTTGCTCCATTTTTTTTTTTTTGGTGTATTGGGGGAGGCTGAGGCAGCTAGGGGGAGTGTAGCAGGAGTTGCAGTGCAGATCACCCCGACATGTAATGAAAGCGAACCGCCAAACAAATGTGAGGCGCCCCATGGGTGTCGTCAGGAAGGAGGTTGTTTTTTTTGGGTTTTTTTTTCTTTTTTGCTTTGAAGGCTGCTTTACTCCTGGGATTTTAATAACAGTTGTGCACCATTTAAGATACATACATACAAAGTAGCTGGAAGCAGGCCCAGAACAACAACATTAAAAGGGCCCAGGGCTCATACTATAAGGCAGATTTCAGGCATTCTTCCTTGTCTGTTTACTCTGCTTGTACAAAGATATCCCTTTCATTTACTGCTGTCACTGCTGAGGGATGGCCTACTCAAATTTAATCTGATACCTGTTACTAGTGCCTGGCATATTTATTGAAATATACAGAGGAAATGAAAGGTATTTCATTAAAATCTCCTCTGTGCACATGGATATATCAATCAAGTCTGAAGCATCTTTTTTTACATACTTCTGAACTACAGTTATAATTAGATCTATGAAATAAACTTGTGAATCTCACTTCAAAATGTGTCATCCTAAGAAAATGACAAGCTGGTAATAAATAACCCAGCACACTGTTTTGCATGCTGAAACGATAAGTCGTCATGGTAAGGAAACGCAATTTGTCATTGGCTGTGGCTTAATAGTATGATATAGGCCAGTCTTCATGAAGACACACAGTTGTTTAGGCCGGGACTCCATTTTGGACTGTTAGATTTAGACTTGAGTTGACAGTTGGACCAGCACTGAGAGTTAGAGCCAAGGTGACAGTAGTGGAGGATCCTCAGGCCCCTCTGCCAGACTATATACTCCACTCCACTCTGCGTCACGCCTTCACCAAGACACACTGGAGCCCCCAATATCCTCCTTCACTTTGTCTTTGTCTAGCTCGCTCTTATTTTAAGTCTCATCTTCTTTCCCTGTTTAACGCTGGTCCTCTTATTCCTCTCTCCTTTATCTTCCCCTCTGGTTCCGTCTATCAATTTGTTGTCAGATCTGGTCTATGGAATCTTGTTTTAAATTTCTTTTCCACAACAGCACATCTTTCCACTCTCCTCCCTCCTCTCCCTCCTGCTCTTGTTTTGCTCTGTCTCCTCCAGGTTGACTCCTCCACCAACCAAGACAGAGGCTTATCCTGGAGTTCTGTCCTTGGTTTCCACCCTTCTCTCCCTGGGCAGTAACCTGCCAGTGCTGCCCTCCTATGGGAGCTCCTAGCTGCTGTAATTACCTCTGGCACCCAGGCTCTGGGGCTTCCACGCAGGTGACATGTTGGAGAGGGTGGGTGCAGAGGGCTGAAAGGAGGAAAGGGAGGTTCTTTCTGTGCAGCCGACAGGGCTTTGTCAGAACTGGTGCTGATCTGCCTGCTACTGCAGGAGTCAGGATAAAAGTATACAGCCTCCCCTTTTCCCTCATTAAAATAAGGCCACTTCATTAACCCTTAAAACAACTATTGTCTCTATCACATACTCTATAGTGCGTACTTAGAAACACTTCAGCTGCTTACCAAGGGTGTAACAATTCATTATGGTCAGATTCTATATAATGTGAAAAAAGCAGTACTGCAGAAATAAGCAGTTGACAAAAGCCGTCTATATAGTATCATCAAGGGACTTCACTTTTACAGCAGATGTTGAACAAAGCGTGTTATGAATTGTTTAAATTTATGATGTGTATAGAAACGAGTGTGTTGCATTGAACTACACAAAATCATGCACCATATTGTTTCACCTCTATTGTTTATATCCCGAATTTAACACAGTAAACACTCAATTGTTTGGAATTACTGTCGGAAACATTTTGTTTGTTGTCGCACTGCTTTGCCACAGCTTTGTTCTCTGTGAATGAGGAGTTACTGTGACCGTCTCCCACACATAAAGAAAACTCAAGTATGTTTAAGAAGTGTAAATAAAAGAAAAAAAAAAAACAAAGAGCGAGGGTGGGGGATGGAGGCAGGGACATGAAGAGGAGGTGAAGGGCGAAGATGAGGGCTGTGTTATCTAAGACTGCAGTGCTGCTTCATAAAAATAACAAATGGAGACTGTCACTGCTGCTCAGATCTTAGAGGGAGGGGAAAATATTTCATGTGTCAGATCCCCTCACCTTTAAATGGACTGTTCTTAGCCAGGTCTGATTTTGACAAAGCATGGGGCTCTTTCTGTCCTCACATCCGGTGAGAGCTGCCACCGTTCAGGCTTTCGTGACATAGATATGTCCTTGGCGCCATAAATGGAGGTCTGTGGGCCGGGCGGGGGGTATGGGGTCGTCTACACTACTGTTTGTACCTTGAAAATGCTCACTGGTGATCGGTTGTACTTCCACAGCGGTGGACAACACAACCAACCCAAGTGTTTTGCATTGTGAAGACGGTGACGAATGTCTCAGGAGCTTATTTTGAAAAGCCTGACTCCAAAATAAACTCAGTCATTCAGTCAGGCTAACTGAAGCCTGAATACACAATAAACTGCACAATCAAGACAATAAAAAAGACAATCAAGCAATTTAAAATGGAGAAGACTCTGCTTGATAAATTTAGTTTCGTAAGACAGTATGTCAAAATACCCTCTCCTCTCAGTAATGTCTGAAATTTGATGGCCTGTTTTGTGTGTGAAATCATTTGTTAGCTTAATTTTTAATGCAATTATAATTCTTAGGATAAAATAGAATAAAATATATTTTGGTCATCCAAGGACACATTGCTTTTTACTAAAATACAAATGAGATAAGTTGCCTCCAATTAATTTAGAACATTAGATCTTTTTAATGAACGTGATAAGTTCTTTCTAGAGTGCAGTGTTTGATGTTAAGAAGCTGCTACACAATTACATCAACTGACGACACTGGGTCAATATGAGGCCTAATCAATGTCTCGTATCAACAGATCAAGGAGGCTTCATCTTGTATATGTTCTGCGTGCTCCCACGCATACATTCAGAACAGAGTTAACCTAGATTACTCAGATTTATTCCCACTATCAACACTTCACACAGATGAGATGAGATCAGTAAGAATAGATAGCATACTGTAACTTCAGCTTGGTCTCAAGTTCAATAGATTCCCACTCTCTGCAGACATTAGGGTTATGACTTGTATTTACATAATCCATGGGCCTAGGTTTCGATTGAATCCATGGTAATATATTGTGTTGTTTATTTTTGAAGAATATCTGCACAGATGTATACACAAACCTCCTGAGTGAAAAGGTTATGAAGTCCAAAGGCCTTTCTATTTTCCTTACCTTTGTGGTTCCTGGCGTCTCTGGACCCTCGGGGTAGAGGAGTGTAGGGCAGTGGGTGACTCTCAGATCCAGCCTCATTACGTGGCTAGGAGAAAGGAGACACACAACTACGATGAATGTTTAGAGGAAAAGAACAGTTTGACGAGTTGACTGTGAGTGTCACAAATCCTTTGGGATTGGTACAGGAAATGTTGGAAATCCTGCTCCTGTTTTAACACATAATGTGGCAAGTCATGTTTTATTACTTCTCACGTGTCAGTCCTGGCTTTGATGATTTGATCTACTACCTGGTTAGGGAGGAGAGGTCTTAACCTTAACTCAGCCATGACCTCTTGCAGTGGTCATCTAAAGGGTAGACGTCACTCACTCTTAACAACCAAACATAGCGCGGCTATGTGAGGGCACTCTGACAAATGGCATGAAATGACCTCTCTACACTGGCGCTAACAGAGGAAATACAATTTGCATTGTAAATACTTATCTCTGTTTAACTGGCTACCTTATTTAATGTCATAAAATTGACATGTGCAGATATTCCTGGCTGTGCAACTATTATGACCTGCTGATTGTAGAGGTTCATATTAAACGAGTGTGACAAATACTGCTTTGAGAGAAAGAGAAAACAGAGGCCCGAATCTCCGAGCATGTTCCCGAACAGGTCAAGAGTTTCTTGCGTTGTTGTTCTTTCATGCACTTTCAAGGTCCAAAACATCCTCTTCCTTCCCTTAGCCTTTCAGCTAGCAGAGCAGGCACTTTATCATGACACAGCGATATCTGATGCCTTTGCAGAAATACTTTCCTTTCCTGCAGGAAGGAATTCACTGGGCCTTTAATCATAGCAAGAGACTCAACTGACAAATACATATTAGGGATGGTTTGGAGCTGCATTTTTCCCACTTTTATTGTTGTTCCTCTACATGCCCATGCATAACATTGAGAAACGGAATGGTCTGTGCTGTTAAATGGAACCATATTCTTCATGGGCAAAGAGAGCACAGTGAATTGAAAACGATCACATAATATGCTTTCAGATAGAATCTCTGAAAGGCATTAAGGTCTGCCCAGCATGTGTCTCATATTACACCAAAGAGGAAAAATGGCAAAATAAGCCTATTTTGAGACCTTACTACATATATGCTGGAGGACCATGCTTTTGAAAGAAAGTGCTTGGAATAGAAGTATTATTTTGACAGCAGATCTACTGCTCTCAGCCTCTGGACTGGCTGAAACCTGTTAAAAATATCACAGATCACTCCTTGATTGTAAGCTGTACTTGTATGGAATATGTAATACACAAAGTAAAACAACCTAAAACAAGAACATACTGTACTCAGGAAAAACTGACACCTCCTTTTTGAGGAAAAACAATCAGGTACTGCCAAAATGGATGCTGGAATGGGCCAATCAGAGATCCTGAACCAAAATTATCCCCACTCATCCTATCTACAAATACCTTCCACTATTTTGCATTTTGCCATTTGCTTTTGAGGATAAAATTGATAATGGCTGTTAGAATGAACACACAAAGACAATTGTTATGAGCTGACAGAGCAACTCAGGCATTAAGAAAAGTATTGTGAACCCTCTCTATTTGATCTACCTCCATGTTCTTCTGAGCCTCCGTGGAGTTGCGCTCCTGCTTGCCTCATTTCCTGGCCTGCTTGAAAGATCACAAGCCTGGGCCTCTTCAGGCCTGCTTGGCCCCCAAAAGCCCCTTCTAATCCTGCTGCTTGCCCACAATTAATCTTCCTAGTTGCCACATTATTAACAGCACCACCCACAGACCATGTTAGGAGGGTGTTGGAGGAGTGGGAGGAGTGCTGGGGTTAGCTTGATACAGGATAGAGTCTTGCGCTGCCTTACACTCTGGTTTTGGTCCTATGGGACATCATTCACCTTGCTTTCAGTATAACCACCCACCCAGTCCTCATGCAATGCATGATACCACCAGTTCACCTCCTCAGCATCATGCCTGCTCATCAAACACCCAAGCCGTTTGCCATCTGTGGTTGTCACTTTGTGTTCTACCCAGCATAACCATTTTACCCCACCCACAGAACATCAATCAGCTGGCTTCCCCATGTAGTGATCCTCCCTTTTTTTCAGACCTTTCTCCTTACCCCTCCACATGTGCACTCTTTCACTTTAGTCAATGACCCGTCCAGAGGAAGAGAAAGCAGCAAATGCTTATGATGAGAAAACATGTGGAACAAATGACGGAGAACATCAGGATTATCTTTTTTTTTTTACACTTGCTTTCGGAGGACTAATGGAATGACGACTTTTTATCATTTTAATGCTTCATAGGAACAATCAAAATGCAGAGGAGAGCAGCAAGACTGTTGGTGCTTAGAGAATGGCTATAACACCTCGCCTCACTTTCAGAACAACCACTAATACATGCATGACAGACCTATGTGATATTCTTAACATTTATGTTGTAAGAATAGCAGTTTAACTACTAGATAATAAATTGTTGGGGCTGTAGTGAAACTATTTCCTCCTGTTCTGGATTTATTGCAGAATAGAGAAGCTTTACATGTGCACAGCGCACAGTGCTTGATCATACAAATTTCAACTTCTAACAGTCTAGAACAACAAAAAACATAACTAGTGATTGTCTCACGATGTCCTCACACATCATATCCCTTTCATGTTTTCAAAACAAGCACTCCTTCTATGCTCCTACTCTCTTTATTCCCCATTTTTCTGTATCCTTTCTCTGTGTCCCTCTTGTTTTCTCTAGTTGTACCTACACTGAACAGAGGGAGGTGCTGCTGTGTCGTCTATTTAAGATGCTCCTGGACCCCCTGTTTCCTCTCTCCCCCTCTCTCTCGGTCTCTCTGCTGTCCAGATTAGTCTGCTCATCAAGCTGAGCATTGTTTTAATTTGCTGGGCCTGGGGCATATGCTGAGTGTTCACATCATTATTGTCTCTGTGCAATGTGAGTTATCACCACAGCTTATGATAATGCGGCACAAATTTACAGGCTGGGGAGCACCGTGGATTCTGTGATAATACATGGTGGACAGAGGAGAGTGGAAAGAGGTAGAGAGAGAAATGAAGAGTGTGTGTGACTGTGTGTGTGAGAGAGAGAGAGAGAGAGAGAGAGAGAGAGAGAGAGAGACAGAAAAATGGGTGGTGGCAGAGAGAGGAAGCTCTGTTGGATGTCATTATGAAAGATGATTCCCGTACAGGATAATACATCACACCAGTGCTGTCTGTCTTCTCCTTTTCTGTGTTGTTATGCGAATAAATGCTGATAAACCCAGAGGCAATAGTGATTATTACTTCCAACATATCACCATGAGAGTGGGGAGCGGGAGGAGAGGGACAGGGGAGGGATGGAAAGTCGGGAAAAGCAAAACACATGGAGCACATAACCACCTCCACAGTGAGGTTCCTGAAAACGTGAGACACCAGAAAGTGAGTCAGGGAAGGTTGACACATATCTAGGTGTTTTTCAGATGCAACTGCAACAAAGTTTACAAAGTTTTGCAAGTTTGGCTTGTGGCTTGATGGGTGTTATATTACAGTATATTACGGTGACTGATCTAGAAAGATTTCACTAGAATGTGATTATGATGTGTGGTGCTAAAGTATATAAACTATTTTGGACAATGTTACACACACACTGCAGCCCGGCTCTGAGGTCTCACCCTTACCAGCTCATCCTGACACAGCTGGTTCCTGCCTCGCCTCACCTCACCTCCCTCCTTAAGACTGACCAGCAATACAATCTAATTACAGCCGCGCTACAGAGGGAGACCAGTGTAAACACCAGCCCTTTTTATCTCCTTATACATCTGGACAAGTAGACAAAGTGCTAAAAGGAAATAAATGTGGCCTGACAGCCACATCAAAGAGTTCAGCCAGAGGCTTACTGCTACTTAGGGCACAGGAATGTTGTTGCTAAGCATCAGCCCGCAACCTATCAGGGTGCAAAGAGGGTCCTGTCCTGCCTTAGAGAGGGAAAAGGGGAAAAGAGAGAACCGAAGAGGAGAGAGAGGGAGGAAGGGCGAGTGGGGGGTGGGGGGTGGGGGGTGGGGGCTGACATTGAGGGGAAGCTAGGGACTCAAGGAGATTTTTGTAGCTTAAAGCAATTGTTGGAAGAAACAAGCCTTCTGTTTTGTTTTCTCTTGACACCATTTCTGCTTTTTGTGCTTGCAAAAGACATGTATAAAAATGTCTTTTGATATGTTTTCTCTTTGGGTCTATATCAAAATATTTCTTTTGTGTCTGTGCATGGAACTTTTTTCACGTCTTGTCTCTGTAAACTGGTGCTGCTTTCTGATCATGTTAGAGATCAGAGGAGACACAACTTGTGAACTTATTTGAGTCAACATTTAATGCTGGCATGACACGTTTATCTCTTCACTAGATAGAATTTTTTATGATTCATGTCTCGTACTTCTGAAGTTAGGGGTTACGAACAATACAACACTTTCAGAAATAAACAATGAAAAACAAATAAGCAGTACCAGCTTGCAGCGTCTTACAGCATGTAATGGCAATGATGAAATGAGAAACGCTCTAATTCATTACCAGAGATTGAATCCAGCCCTGATTTTTATTCATACTATTTTTGTGCATAATTCAGAGTGTTTTCAAACAGAATCCTATATTTTGTGTATTAATACATAAAATATCATATTTGTATATTATTATATAGCCATAAAAAGTTAGGATGGTTGAGGTAAAATGCATATTTTGCCAGCAACAAGCACGAGTGGCACAGTAAAAGGTACAGCAGTGGTATATTAATTCAGATCTTTTCTGTTTTTGTGTCTGACCTTAATGATTGTGGCTTAGGGAACAGGGAAAAGATTATAATGTGTTTTAAATTGCTGTTGTGTGCGTGAAACTTATTAATTCTGTTTTTCTTAGGTAATGGCAAAGGGAAGAGTGTTTGATGTAATGGTGCCTATACTTGTGGGTAGTACAGCAGTCTTTTGCTCAGCAGGAAGACTGCTGAGCGTGTGTTTAATGATTTACCAGTTCTACTCCAATGAACTTGCTCTGAGTAAATGTATCATATGATCACTGATCACAAGAGCAACCGTTGTGAGGTTTCGCTTGGGGCAC